GAGGCTGCACATTTTCTCTCTTCCCTTATCCAGTGATTGGGTGCAGAAGGTACAGTGGAAAGCCTAGGGGCTGGTGGAGACATAAGATGGAAGCATGCTGGTCTCTGAAATACTGCATGGAATAGAGCCCCCTCATCAACCAACATGAGACTGTAATGTGATCAAGAAATAAATCGTTATTGTGTTTTAAGCCACCCAAATTTGATTTGGGGGTTGTTATGTTACCCTGTGTTAATTAACAATGAAGTTTCACCTTGGTTTTGTTTCTCAGTATTATTATGCAGAGAAAAATATTTGACCCGAAAACAGTGAACACAGTAACCAATGGAAGTACGTGTGCCAGTGTCTGCGCTATTAAGAACATATTCCTGGGGTGCCTGGGTGGCTCAGTCAGTTAAGCATCTGACTTCGGCTCAGGTGATGATCTCATGGTTCTTGAGTTCGAGCCCCACATCAGGCTCTGCACTGTAAGTACAGAAGTGAAGGGATTCTCTCTCTACTTCTCTCTCTGTCCCTCCCCCACTTGCTCTCTCTCTCTCTCTCTCTCTCTCTCTTTCTGTTTCTCTGTCTCTCTCTCTCTCTCTCTCTCAAAATAAATACATAAACTTAAAAAAAAAGAGCATACTTCTTTTGCTCTACTTATTCTTAGTGGAATCCCAGGGATGTGCTAACTTACGGGCCAATCGAGCGTATGTCAGAAATCTTGTATAATCACATGCACACTAAAACAACAAATAAATACACAATGTCTTAGAGAGGTGAGTCATGCCAGGTGTTTCTACCTCTAAAATCTTTAGGAGCCTACTTTCTCTGGATATAACCCAGAAGATGAGAACATCTACCTCTGGTGGCCATCACCATCTGATGGAGGGAAGGCAGACACCAATTCAGGCACATGTTCTTAATTGTGAAAATCCCATGAAAGAGGTATGTTTGCAGAGTCAAAGCATAGGAGTTCCATGTATGACCACCACATAATTTGTTTTAGTTCTTACCTGAATGCATACTTTTTATGACTGTATTAATGAACTGCTTGCCTCTCAGGATTGTTTTGAAAGAAGCCCAAGAAAAAGTAATTACCAAAGGCCGTAAAGAGTACGTTTATAAGTTGTTTTGTGTCCCCCCCCCCCCCCCCCCCCCCCCCCCCCCGGCCCCAATCCTCTCTTTGAGAGATAGTCATTTTATCACCTGGGTTCCCTGGGAGCTGTGTGGCCTATTATGGTAGCCATTAGTCATATGTTACCATTTAAAGTAAATAAAATTAACAGTATTTCCTCAGTCACATTAGCCACATTTCATGTGTGTAGTGGTCACATGTGGGTAGTGGCTACCATGCTGGACAACAGAACATTGTCATCATTGTTGAAAGTTCTGTTAGCACTGGTACAGACAGCTAGCTTTGATATTTTCATCTTTTTCATGATGCAACCACATTTTTAGGTTTTCTCTCACTACTATATATTTAAAAGCACTTTTCAAAACCAGACAGTAGACCCAGAATGGGGTCACTTATGCTAAGCCTACATCTTCAAACCTAAACTCAAGTACAATTTCAGCTCTCTCAGAAATGGATCTTAAACAAGTCAATCAGGAATCATCTGATCTAATCATCAGATCATCTCATCTGTCTGATAAACCTCTCCCATGCCCTAAAGGAAAGTAACCTTGCAATAACTAATCACCTTTTTTGCCTAGTACAACTTCCCTGTTTCTGTTACCCTCTGTTTATAAAATCTCTTGCCTTATATAGCTCTTTGGAGTTCCTTTCTATGTGTTAGATTTGATGTTGCCTGATTCATGAATTGCTGAAGAAAGCCAGTAAGATCTTAAAATTATTTAATTGATTTCTGTTTTTAACAGCACTATGGTGTTTTGTTATTGTTATTTGTTTGTGTTTTGCTTTTGTTTTTTTAAGCACATGAGATGTTCTTAAGATTATTGTGATATAAATTGTAGAAAAGGTTGTGGAGTAAATCACAAAAGGAGGATTCTGAGTACTTATAAAAGGAAATGATGATAATTAGGAGCTATCAAGGGTTCCCTAGGTTAGGTTATGATAGATTCATTTTGTTTTCTTCTATGACTGGCATAATCTAAGCTTCATGAAAGGAATTTTTGCTCTATTTTCTCATTGCTGGGTTCTCAATATTTTCAGTATGCTTGCAGCATAGAAGGTGTTCAATAAATATCTGTTGAATGACTATCAGCGAAATAAGTTTGATGCTGTTCATTTCAGTTTTATTAAAAGAGAAGAGGAGGGGTGCCTGGGTGGCACAGTTGGTTAAGCGTCCGACTTCAGCCAGGTCATGATCTGAGAATCGTGAGTTCGAGGCATGAGTTCGTCAGGCTCTGGGCTGATGGCTCCAGAGCTGGAGCCTGTTTCCGATTCTGTGTCTCCCTCTCTCTCTGCCCCTCCCCCGTTCATGCTCTGTCTCTCTCTGTCCCAAAAATAAATAAACGTTGAAAAAAATAAAATAAAATAAAATAAACTGGGACTCTTTTAAAAAAAAAAAAAAAAAAGAGAAGAGGAAAGTTCTCATACTATCTTTGAAGCAATGGTTGAAGTAATAAGACAGTTGGGTGAGTTGCCAAGTAGTTAAATAATCATAAGTGGCTAATGAAGAGATCATAAGACTTGGAATCAGATGTAGACCTACCTTCAATTCTTGGTTCCTCTACTTAACCTGTGAGATCCCAAGCAATCATTTCACTTCTCTGAATCACTGTTTCCTCTTCATCATAATACTTAACATCTTAGGGTTGTTGTGAATATCAAATATGGTGCTATAAAAGGCTCGGATGAAGAAAGCCTTGAAGGTGGTATCTAGTAGGATGTTATGAGTCTCCATTCTGACCTAGCCAATGTTTCTATCTCCATCAACAATGAGGACATATGCTTGAATTTGTGGGTGGCATACCTGTTTTAAGAATCAGATTAAGAGGGACCTCAGTAGACTGAAAAGATAGTCTAAATCGAATCCTTTAAGGTTCAATGAGGAGAAATGCGATGATTTATATTGATTGACTCAAAGGAAAAAATGCAACAGTAGCGGACAGAGGACGTGCGGCTTAACTTCAGTTTGCAAACAAATTGGGGACTTCAGAAACAATTAATGTCACGCACCATGTGATGTGGCTGCCAGAGTTAGTTTTAGCAATAGGAATAAAGCACCCGATGTTGCACATTGGTGCTCCTGAGAAGTTAAAAATGCTGATGACTGGGCCTTTGCCAGAGATTCTAATTTAATTGGCATGGGATGCAGCTTTGACACTGAGATTTTTAACTTTCCCTGTCTAACCTCGCCCCCCCGCCCCCCCACCCCCCCACCCAGTGATCCTAATGTGCAGCCAAGTTTGGGAACCCCTGGTCTAGGCTGAGCAAGGTCCTGCCTACTTCTGTTTGCTCCATTTTTGCACAGTCTATAAATATTACTTGCATGGAAAAATGCATGCTGCATGAGGTTGTGAGTGCCCCATTCATGCTTGGGATATATTCAGGTAATAGTGTCAGGACAGTGAGCAGACTGATAATTGTATCATTCAGGGGAAAGTTGGTTTTATTAGAGAACGGTAGGAAGAGGTAACAGTCTTGGACATTGCTTGCTTGGTCTGTCTTAGGAAGTTAGATTCAGTTCCTCTCCCTGTCATTCCAGAAGGTGGACAGGGATCCACTGAGTAGAAGCTTTAGGAGGTGGATGTAGAAAAGTGCTTGCTGAATATGGTGCTTTCTAGAGATGAGGGACTGCCAGATTCTGGAGATTGGCAGAGACCTCACAGATTTTATTGTGGATTTAAAAGGCTAATGGGTGGGTTCAACTATCAGAATGTTTTCTTTCACCCTTGACCTCACCTCCTACTCTCTCTTCCATCCTCTGCCTCAGTCCTGTTATTCTCATTGTCGTTCTTAGGGCCCCATTCCCCAGCGTGTTCTCCATCTCTGGATAGAGATACCCTTTCTTCATCCTGAGACACTTTTTCTCTAGATATCTGTACAGTTTACTCTCACTTCCCTTAGGTTTTTGCTCAAATCACAGCCTCTCCCTTGATTCTTTATCCCCAATTCTTTTTTGTTTTTCTCTGTCACCATCTGAGATCACACACACACACACACACACACACACACACAATTTGTATGCCTTCCTCTAATAGATAGTGAGCTTCACGTGGTCCAGGACTTCTGTCAGAAGTGTGCACTGATATGTCCCAGTGCCAGAATAGTGCTGGGCTTTCAGAGGTGCTCAAGAAATATTTGTTAAATAAATCTCCACGATCACCTACTTCTGTAGGATCTCACCAATTGTTTTGATTTTTCTGTTCTGGCCTGGATAAACTTCCTGTTGAGGAGGTACCTACTTGGCATCTTTGGATGATAAATTTAGTAATATCTGGGCAGAATGACTACTTTCAAACTGTTTTTCTTTTTTGCTTTTCTCCCCCCACATCAAATGGGAACATCATCCCCTAAACACGAAATATTATTCACTGATTAGCAGTTTTTGGGCAACTGTTGAGGGAAATCCAATGCAGAAAGAAAATACGAAACTTCACTGCAGTATAATTTCTTTCTTCTGAACCACGTTGGGTACAGTAAAGGTCAATAATGCACAGGAAAGCTAGGTTTAATTTCTTTGATGTGTAAAAATTAGTGCCTTGTCATCAATTACAGATGCAGGAGGACAAATCACCGGCACATTAAGTTGTTCCTGCTACATAAATTACAAATCTTGTTACAAAAAAAAAATATTAGCATCATCCCTTGTTATTTTAAAAATGCCAGCTCTGATAAACAGTCAGCCTTGGGCATATATTAAAATGCCCAAATTGTACTAAAATAAATTCAGCCTTTTAAGATAACACCTCATTTTAATTTCATACACGATTAAATCTATCAATTCAAAGGTCTTTTAACACATAAGTTTTGAAGTCATAATAGTATCCTTTAATTCCCTGTGGAAAAACTTAAACCTCTCTCTGCTTCTTTAATAACTTTCTTTTATTGACAGAAAATTTTAAGAAATCCTCTTTTACTTTGTTTTGTGTTCTTGTGTGTTTTTCTCAAGGAGAAGAGGAAATTAAATTGTGATCCCTTTCATTTTTGGAAGGAGATTTTTCCTTTAGTCATAGTCCAGAAGGAGGTTGAAAAAGCTTTGTGAATGAAATATGTTATCTCTATCACAGTCAGATAGTCTAAATTATTGTCCTATACCCAGCAAAATCTTTATTCCTCCTTTCACTGACTTCTGAATTTTTCATTCTTAACATCAATAGTACCCCCTCACTGCCATCCAGGGTGACTACCTCTCACCTTCCTTGTAACTTGAAGACCTCACTTTGCAAATGTAAATTCGAAGAGACCTAGGTCAGGGCTGGCTGTGGTTCTGACAGCCCAACCTGAGGGTTGGGGTGGGGGGGGACATGCCTCTTTAGGCAGGGCTGCTCTGTGGCCTTTCCAGGAAGGGGAGGCTTTCCAGCCTGCTGTCCAGCTCAGAGACTTTGGAGGCCTGAACACCTGGATGTCTGATCTCATCAAAATCTCCTTTGAGAGGAAATTCTGTCAACAGATATTTATTGAGTACCTTCGGTGTCTCGGATTCTGTGCTTGGGGCTGGAGGTACAGTGATGAGGAAACCAATATGTCTATAAGATACCTGGCTTAAAGAACTAATGCAACATGTGCATATTACCTCTTTGAAATAAAGAAAGCTGACTACCATTTCCTGAAGAAAACAATTCTGTATGTGTGTGTGTGTGTGTGTGTGTGTGTGTGTGTATATATATATATATATATATATATATATATATATATATATATATATATATATCAGTATTTATCAAATATTTATTGACTTTTTCTTACCCACCTCCTTCTTCTTTCCTCCTCTCTCCTCTTCTTCCTTTGCTCTTCCTCCCTCCCTCCTTCTCTCCCT